AAAACTAATTACTAGCATACAATTGCAAAGTCTTTCTAGCCATTTCAACCCCAAGCAACACAGCCATTATGCATTAACTGGAAAATAAGGTTGACAATCATCCCAGAAGGTGTTTGCGAAATAGGTGTGTCTTTAAATTGGTTTTAAAGGACTCCAGTGTTAGAAAGTCAATAATTTATTCCTCGGGAACCCTAGGGTATTAAGTTATAACGCATATCTAGTTGGAAAGGGGATTTTATTCACTATACCTTAGCATATTTACAAGTTTCCATCGTTGGAGGATATTTTAACATTTAGTCATTAAAGGAGTTTTCGCCTTCATCTATAGTGGTCCCCACCCCTTCTAGTTAAAATATCTCAAATACCATTTAACTCATAAAAATATAAAATAGTATCTTAGAGTGCTGAGACAAACTGCACAGATCACATACAAGTCGTTAGGGCTTTGGTCAGGGATTTTAATTATTACTCTGGTGTAGTCCCCAGAGTTAGGCATTTTACCCCAGGAAATTGTCCAGAAGGCATAACTTAGACCGACTTGGTTTAAGTGTGACGGAGGGGCTCTCTCATATGTCCGCGCACGGCTTTATAAAGGGGTGCACACTAAGTAGGGGGTCATTCGAGATCGGACAGCATCCCTGCAGTGTGCCATTGTTCAGTGCGACCCATTGGAACGCTCTGTAAGTAGAGGCAAGTACGCCATTTTATTTCTTTGTGGTTAGTAGGAACTTGTTGAGTGTTAGCATTGGAAGAGTTCTGTTCAGACTTATAACCAGGATATAGTGTAGAATAGCCTACAGCGTGTAGACTTATGCTCAGGCTATTTTAAAGGTTAACATACAACCGTTAAATAAATTCTTTAATAGGATTAATAAATTAGATACCAGTGACCAGGGTTTGTGAGCGTAACAAACAACTGCATATCGTTCTGGGTACACATACTGCAATGCGCTTATAATATAAGCTATTGATACAACAGTATACAACCAGCGAGTGTCCGTCAAATATGTGTAATAGGCTAACTTTCCTGCCGTGTGCTAAATTCTCACATAGGAAATAGTGCATGTGTGAGGATCATATTCCATATAATGATTCATTCTGCAATCCGCTGTTGTCTTAACAAGACACAGCGATGGACAGATACAAGTATCAAGCCAACGGTGGTCATACTTTATACCATTGTATTTACTGTCCCGCTATGTGTGCTTCTTACATAGACACCATACCTGGATGGCATACTATAATTACTTCAAGATCTTTAAAGTTTATGTTAGCCCTCACATCGCACTCTGGTTCTGTGTGTAGCATTAACACTGTGCACGTGTTCCAAATTAGACACTGCACGTGGTTTCTTTTATAGTTAAAACATTCGTAGTACAAGATAATTATCTTTGCCATGTGTATAAAACAATACTACGTACGTATCATTTATCATGCTTTCTAATTAAGTATATGTTGTCCAAAAAAACGTATAAAAACGTGGTTATGTAACATGTTTATTTTTAGCTATGTCAGTCAGGACATTGTTAACCTGTACTATTTGTTTATTTTCAGATATTGTCCTTTTTCTTTTTCTTCAAGTGTAGTGTACTTCTTCTCCATAGTTCATAGTGTACTTTTTGTTGTCTTAACAAGACACAGCGATGGACAGATACAAGTATCAAGCCAACGGTGGTCATACTTTATACCATTGTATTTACTGTCCCGCTATGTGTGCTTCTTACATAGACACCATACCTGGATGGCATACTATAATTACTTCAAGATCTTTAAAGTTTATGTTAGCCCTCACATCGCACTCTGGTTCTGTGTGTAGCATTAACACTGTGCACGTGTTCCAAATTAGACACTGCACGTGGTTTCTTTTATAGTTAAAACATTCGTAGTACAAGATAATTAGCTTTGCCATGTGTATGAAACAATACTACGTACGTATCATTTATCATGCTTTCTAGTTAAGCATATTTTGTCGCCACGTCTAATTACGTGGTTATGTAACATGCTTATTGTTAGCTATGTTAGTCAGGACATTGTTGACCTGTACTATTTGTTTATTTTCAGATATTGTCCTTTTTCTTCACAGTGGACATTTTCTTACATCTTTTTCTTAATTATAACAAGTGTTGGCCTTTTTCATCATAGTGGATGGCTTTGTAGAGCATTAATAAAGCTATAGTCCTCGAGACCTGCATTTCTTCATTTGTTTATTAGTAACTGTCAGTGGCAGCCTTGGTACATCCAAGCACCAATCACCTACATTACCCACTACGCACTACTACATTCTTATATAAAGTGGGACTGGTACCGGCCATCCCAGCAGGCACGTACTTCACCCCACAGAAACCGGGTAGACTGATCAGAGCAAAACGCTCAATGAATACGGACTTCACCACTGACATTCCCATAAACAAGTACACCAGAAACAATAGAAAATGGTTCAAAGTGCCTCAGTGCAACACAATGCAGTATCAACAATCTTTCTTCCCACGCACAATAATAGCATGGAACCACCTGAACGATGTCACTGTGAACTCGACATCGCTCGAAAGCTTCAAGGCTGCCCTGGCATCAGCTAGGAGCTATTAGAATAGCAACATCGTATACCCAACCGTTGCAAAGATGCCAATACATGGATGCAGCAACGAAGCACAACCAGAACCAGAATCGCATGAATTACATGACAACTAAGAACAAAACAAATTGAGAACGAAGTGGCTATTCGTACTCGGGTACCAGAAGTGAGAGGTTGGGATTAAAAAACTATTTAACATTTTATTGTTGGATTTGTAAGACAAAATGAGGTATCAAATAAAAGATAATTGAATGGACTATATGTTTATAAACTTAATTCTTCAGTTTAACTAAAATAAACTACCATAAAATGACATCCGAGTAGCCTTTGATGTAAAGGAACCAAGGTCCAAATAGCGGTGATGCGTGTCCGGATCCAATTTGACTAAATGCTATTCAGGGCTAAAAGGAAGATAGGATTCCACGACGCCTTTTGAGTGTTTATTAAAGTTGCCGTGAATTAGGGTTCAGGTTAGGTTTAGAGTTCAGGTTAGGCTTAGGGATACATTTCGGCAGAGGCGTAGCGAGGGGGGGCATGACTTGCCCCCCCCCCCTGGATTGATTGGATAAAAATTTTTTAGACAAAAAATTTATTAAAGTAAAGAGAAAATAAAGAGAAAGTAACTAAGCTGATGTCCTGTCCTTTCGTTCACCATACAAATACGCTACAGTAAATTAAAACTATATTAAAACACTACTAAAAATTTTTTGCCCCCCCCCTGGAAGTTAATCGATTTTTTTGCCCCCCCCCCCCTAAAGTTTTCTGCGTGCGCCCATGGCAGGGGGGGGGACAGATGTCCCCGGGCGCCAGCTAGTTAGGCGCGCCAAAATGTGCTTTGATATTATTTTATTAATGAAAATAATGGGATTGAGAGTTGAAAAAAAGAAAAATATATCTTCCAATTTTATCAATTATGTAGTATGCTATTTTTAAATCATAATAATAATATTGAATAATGTTTTTGGTATGCAAAGTAAGGTTATTTTTTTTTCTTTGGAAAAGGGAAGGTGTTGCATATTTGTACCTGAAAATTCATTTTCCAGTTTTACATTAGTTTTTTGCTTAACATGCCCAATGATTTTTATGTTGAATAAAATGAAATTTATTTGCTTACATTATGCATAAAATTTAAATTTCTTTCAAAAAGCTTATTTTCTATTTTTCTCAAAATAAAATTTTTATCCATCCATCCCTGTGGCGCTACAGCCCATGTAAAGCTTTGGCCTGCCTCACCACTTCCTTCCACTCAGACCTAACTAATGCCTTTCTTTTCCATATTTGGACTTTCAACTGCTGTAGATCATTTTCCAGATTATCTATCCGCCTAAGCCTAGGTCTGCCTTTGAGCCTTTTTCCTCTGGGGTATTCGTCATGTACCCTCTTTGTTCCTCTGTCATTTGGCATTCTCTCTATGTGTCCTGCCCAGCGTAGCCTGCCTCTTTTTATTTCTACCATCAAGGGATCCTGATATAGACTGTATACTTCATGGTTGGTTCATATTCTCCATCCA